ACACACACACACACACACATATATACATGCATATATATATACATACATTATATATATATATATATATATATATATACACATATATATATATATGTATATGTCGTACCTAGTAGCCAGAATTCACTTTTCAGCCTACAATGCAAGGCCCGATTTGCCTGATAAGCCAAATTTTCATGAATTAATATATTTTCTCTAATTTTTTTCTTATGAAATGATAAAGCAACCCATTTAATAATGTAAGAGGTCAATTTTTTTTTATTGGAGTTAAAATTAACGTAGATATATGACCGAACCTAACCAACCCTACCTAACCTAACCTAACCTATCTCTATCGGTTAGGTTAGGTTAGGTAGCCGAAAAAGTTAGGTTAGGTTAGGTTAGGTAGGTTAGGTAGTCGAAAAGCAATTAATTCATGAAAACTTGGCTTATTAGGCAAATCGGGCCTTGCATAGTAGGCTCAGAAGTGAGTTCTGGCTACTAGGTACGACATATATATATATATATATATATATATATATATATATAATATATATATATATATATATATATATATATATATATATATATATATATATATATATATATATATATATATATATATATATATATATATATATATATATATATATATATATATATATATATATATATATATATATATATATATATATATAATATATATATTAATATATTTAAATAAATGTACATGTACTATGTCTCGGTGATACGAGTGTAGCTGAATACGCACACCAGTGGTTGGGTAGTTTGTTAACTGTTCCCAAGTCACTGTTAACATAACTACATCTAACTTTCATTTGCTTTTACTGTATGTAACGTCCAAGTTTAATAAATAGAGTTAAGGAAGTCGAACTTTCCATATCCACCAATTTCATTATTTCCTTGTGGGCGGATCTCACCTCTGTGGCCTTACACTTTAATTAATGTAAAATCCAGTTTGAATCCACCATTGTAAGTGGTGACTCCGTACCTGGTAGTTAATACCAATAATATGTATACGAGTGGGATTGGGTGGTTATAAATAGGAGCTGCCTCGTATGGGCCAATAGGCCTTCTGCAGTTACCTTTGTTCTTATGTTCTTAATATGTCCATCTACATTGAAGGTCTAGACCAGTGGCTCTATTCCTACCTTACATGGGTAGGACTACAATCTCAGGTTCAAAACTGACATACTAGTGCTTGAAGTTTTTTTTTCTTATTGCTATGATAGTTGATTCTTGCCTGGACTGCATGAATGCCTGACTATTTGTCTGCGAGTAAGGCAGCACGTCTTCATTTATGCTATTTATATAATGATCTTCTTTAGAGATTTCCTTGAGCCTTTATCATTAGCTTTACATAAATTATCTGACAGGTCTGATGTTTTGCCACATCTGACCTCTTGTTGTTTCCGATTGCCATAGTCTTCATAGTTTCAAATGGATAGTACTGGAACAGACCAAATGTTATATTTTATCTTTAATGTGTGGATTTAGTGCTCTTCTGGAAGAAGAACTTTTAAAGATGCAGGTAAGTGAAGAATGGGCTTCCTTTGTTGATGCCCATGTAGAGGACACGCTATAGCTCTTGGCCAAGCGCCAGTATTGGTTATTCCTATGGGGTCGATTTTTGGGAACAACTAACTATTAGAATCACATATCAGTATGTTAGCATGGCATCTTAACATGTTGTGGTGGTGCTCTCAATTGACTTGGTTATTTTTATATGTAGTATTAATTTTTGCATTTAAGCTTTTTGCATAATGTTGGTGTTAAAGTTAATATTTTTTGTATGCAAGTGGTTGATGACAGTTGACTTTAACCTAACTGTAAAGTTTGCCCTGACAGTTAAATATACTAAAACTCACCAATATAGATTTAATAAAATGTTTGTGATGTAGAATTTTATTCTAAAATAATTTAATAAGCTAAAAATGTTGACTAATGCTCATTTTACATTTTATAAGAAGCCTGCTCCATATGTGTGTGTTTGTATGTTTGTAATTACCTAAGTGTAGTTACAGGATGAGAGCTGTGCTCGTGTTGTCCTGTCTTCCCATTACTATTTGTCGTATAATGCTCTGAAACTACTGACGGTTTTGGCTTCCACCACCACCTCACTTATCTTATTCCAACCATCTACCACTCTGTTTGCAAAATAAAACTTTCTAATATTTTTTTGGCTCCTTTGTTTCCTTAGCTTGAATCTGTGTCCTCGTGTTCTTGAAGTTGCTGATTTCAGGAATTCCTCTTGTCAATTTGATTGATTCCTGTTATTATTTTGTAAGTGGTGATCATATCACCACTTATGTCTTTGCACCTTTTCCAGTTTATTGATGTGCTTCTTGAGATATGGGCACCATACAACTGCTCCATATTCCAATTTGATCTAAAAAAAAAGTCGTGAACAGATAACTTAGTATTTCACCATCCATGTAATTAAAAGCAAGTCTGAAGTTGGAAAGCGACGTATATGCTCCTCTCACAATGTTCTTTGTGCGTTCCTCTGGTGACAGCTTACTATCCAAAACCACCCCTAGGTCTCATTCTTTATTACAGTTCATTAATTCCTTTCCACATAATTTGTAAGTTGTGTATGGTCTATTTTCTCGGATTCCACATTCCAAAACATGACATATATTTACATTGAATTGCATTTGCCACATGTTGTTCCAAGCACTTACTTTATCTAGATCGATTTGAAGGGCATGACAATCATGTCTCCTATCTTCTCCAGTATCTTAACATCATCTGTGAACATATTCATACAAGTCTCTCTTTCTTCTGGTAGATCGTTTATGTAGATGATGAACATTACTGGTTTAAGAACTAAACCCTGTGGTACTCTGCTAGTAACACTCCTCCAGTCAAATACATTGTCTCTGATTACTTCCCTCATCTTTCTGTTAGAAAATTTTTCATCCATGTCAGAAGTCTCCCTGTCACCCCTCCAGCATGTTCCAGTTTCCAAAATAACCTCTTGTTTGGGACTGTCAAAAGCTTTCCTTTAGGTCCAATACAGTCAACCCAACCATCTTTTAACTGAAGAATCTCTGTAGTTCTATCATAAAAACTAAGTAGGTTTGTTACACAGGTTCTTTCTATTCGAAAACCATACTGCAGTATATGTCCAGTATTATGTCATTACTCTCCAGGTGTTCAACCCATTTGACTTTAACTGTTGTTTCTAGTGTTTTGACAACTATGCTTGTTAATGACTCGGGTCTATTATTTAGAGGGTCTTTTTGGCTACCATTTTTGTAGATTGGAACTATGTTTGGCTTTTTCCAAATATCTGCTTAGATTCCTGTGGACAAGGATGTCTGGAATATCCATTGGAGTGGGATGCTCAGCTCAATTGCATATTCTCTCAGTACCCAAGGTGAAACTCCATCTGGTCCAACTGCTTTATTTCTTCCTAACCCCTTCAGTAAATTTTCCCCTTCGTCTCGATACACCTCTATGCACTGTATGGTGTTTTCTGGAATTGGCATTGGGTCCCAGGCTGAAATCTGAAATCCTTATTTTATACAAACACACTTTGGAACTTTTCATTTAGTATTTCACACATTTTTTCATTCTCAATGAACCTGTTTCCCATTCTTAATCTCTGGATTTTATCCTTTACATACAGCTGGCTTTTAGTGAATTTATAGAAAAAGCCTGGATCTGTTTTACATTGGTCTGCCATTCCTTTCTCAGGGTCCCTTTCTGCCTCTCTTCTCACTGCTGTGTATTTGTTTCTTGCTTGTAGTGCTGGTATGTTTGTGGGTTAGGCCTCTTCCTATATTGAACCCATTTTCTTGTCTTTTCCTCTCTGGTCCTCTCACAATTTCTTTTGAACCAATCCTGTTTTCTGGTCCTGCATCTATGTTTTAGGATATATTTTTGTGTATCTTCATTATATAGAACATTATATCATTTTGTGTATTCTTCATTATATCTTCATTTTATAGAATTTGGCATACATCTTATTTATTTCCTTGCCTAGCAAAAATTCTTTCCAATTAAATTCATAAAAGAATTTGCTAAGTTCTCCATAGTGTCTTCTCTAAAATTAAATTTTTCAACTATTTAAATTTTGCCAATTCTGCTAGATTATATTACAGAGCATAACTAATTTCCAACAAGACATGGCCCCTCTTTCCCAAGGGAGGAACGTACTGAGTGTCAAATATCTCTTGTCTTCTTATTGTGTCTGGTTCTCTGAAGATCTCATTTTCTACAAATGCACTTTGGAACTTTTCGTTTAATGTTTCACGCATTTCCTTTTCATTTTCCGTGTATCTGTCCCCCATTTTCAACCTCTGAATATTATCCTTTACCTGCAGCTTGCTTTTAATGAATTTATAGAAAAGGCCTGGATCTGATTTACATTTTTCTGCTATACCATTCTCAAAGTTCCTCTCTGTCTCTCTCCTTACTGATGTGTAGTTGTTTCTTGCATCTATATATTGTTGGCATGTTTGGGGGTTTGGCCTCTTTCTATAAGGATTCCATGCTTGTGTCTTTTGATTTCTGACCCTCTTGCAATTTCTGTTCGACCCTGTTTCCTAGGTCTGCATGTCTGTTTTGGTATGAATGTATGTGTGCTTTCATCGTATATTTTGCAAAATTTTTCATACATCTCATTTACTTCCTTGCCTAGCAACAAGTCTGTCCAATTATACCCATGAAAAAATATCTAAGTTCCCCATAACATCCTCTCTTGAAATCGAGTTTAACAACTGTTTCACTGTCCCCATTCTCTACTAGATTATATCGCATAGCGTATTTAATATCCAAGAGGACGTGATCACTCTTTCCCAAAGGAGGAAGGTACTGGATGTCAAATACCTCCTCTTCTTTCCTGGTGAATGTGGTGAATACTAGATCCAGTACTGACGGAACATCCCCTTCCCTCATTCTTGTGGCCTGCTTGACGTGTGTGTGTGTGTGTGTGTGTGTGTGTGTGTGTGTTACAAATTGTTATATAATACTATTGCTTAATAATTTCTTTACAGCACGTCCAAGAAAAACGTCCGAACATCCGCCCATCAGCTCCATTACATCTCCTGATCGTATGGGAAGATCCAGAAGCCGAGGTGGTGTCTCACAGTCCCAACGTAAGAATGCACATTTACTTTTAATTGTTGGTTTATAAAGGCAAAATGATGGTGTATTTTAAATGGATGGCAAGAAAGAAGCATACATTGAACAAATAAGACAATATATTTAGGCCCTGAAATATAGATAATAAATTGAGCTTTAATTCATACATCAGAGAAAAAAAAAGCATACTTTTAACAATCTGATAATGCAGTATGTCTTTCATTCTGCAGTACATGATACTATTCAAATTTCTCTTTGTCCATAGCCTGTCATTTGTGTATATAATGTCAATACTTATTCATGTAAATGTATAGCTAGCTGGCCAGCTGCTGTTACTGTTACATTCCTGCTTGACTCTTCCCTGCTCCCTGCTCGACTCTTCCCTGCTCCCTGCTCGACTCTTCTCTGCTCCGTGCTCGATTCTTCCCCCCCCCCCCCATGTTTAACTCTTCCCCCCTCCTCACTTTTTCCTTGACTCTCCCCTCCACTAATCAAAGGGGCATTTGGAAACAGTTATTTTGGAAAGAGAATGAGATTAAAATGCAGTTACCCTCTTCCCAGAAAATATCTAAATATACTTGGGAAAGGGAAAATGTTTTTGATCAACAGGCAGGTGTTTCCATTCTGACATGTGAAGAACTTTACATGAAGAAAGAAAATGCAATGTCCTATACTGTTCAGAATTTCACATGAAAGCCAAAGAAAGCTAGAGAGAGAGAGTGTGCCAAACAGGAAAATGGGTTTGAAGGATTGTCTAGTAATTTTTTTAGACCTAGTACAAAAGTTTCAAAGGGTGGAACATAGGGAATGTTTGATATGGAAACTTGCAGAATGGAATATGCACAAACCAGAGTCACAGCTTTGACTACACTCCAAACCAGAGCTACAAGTATGAAAGGCAACAACACTGCAACAAGAAGTACAGGTCAAAGCAAACACAATATGTCCACACATAATGAACCTCCCTGAAAAATCTGTCAAAATACAGCGCACAGAGTAACGCCATTTATTTTTTCCAAATTACAAGATCTAAAAACAAAAATGAAAAAATACTGTTCATAAATGGCCTCCTCAGAGAGGCAAATGCTGTATTTGGAGCTTTTACAGAAACCCATGCATGGGAATACATGAAACTGAGATCTCAATGTCAATGTAATTTATATAGATGTGATAAGAGTAAATATGTCACATTATGTCAGTAGGTTTGAATATTGGAGAGAATCATATATATATTCATAGTGCCAGAAATCTACAAATGACATGGTAGAGGTACTAGGAATAAAAATTTCCCTGCAAACACAGAATGTAACTGGCCCTGTTTTCCACTTGTTACACCAAGATGTAATAACTTTATTACAAGTTGTAACATTTTTATGACATATTAGAGCATTGTTACAACTTGTTAGGTGTTAAAACTTGTTCGAACTTTGTAGCAACGTCGTAGTCGTTATATGCTTGGCGGGAGAACAGATAAACAAAACGGAGAAGAGCTTCGATAATCTAGCATACCCAGTAACAGATAATATCTTGCTTGTAGACTTTAATCTATCCAGTCTAAGATAGAGATTAGCAAACAATAATGGTATACCAGGAAATCAACATGGAAATATTCAACTACAGGCCAGAGAACTTAGTTTGTGACAAATTTTTGCTCAACCATCAGATTGCAAAGCCAACTAGGAATGAAAATTCTCCAGATCTGATATCCACAAACAACGAAGAAATAATAGGGATATTACAATTTCAGATACTAGCTACTCAGATCATAAGCTCATTGAAGTGCAAACTAACATCAGTACTTGTAATAGGGCCAAAAGATTATAAAACGAGAGCGGTTATTCATTAAATTAAATTTTAATAATAAGATGATTGACTGGGAACAATATACAGAAAACTTGCAAAACCCCCACACTCTGAATAGAACAATTGATATCCAAAGCATACAAAGTCTACTTCAAATACTTTGTCCCTTTGTTTAAGATCAGAAATAGGACCAATTTAGAGAATTCAGGCAAGTGCAGAAGTAGAAGAAAAATAAAACATTATTCTGGAAGCAATCATACCAGATTAAAAAATTTATTTGGAATTTAATGCCAAACAATAGATAAAGAACATTGCAAAGTATTTCTTCACGTATGTGAAATTAAAATAAAAAACCTCCACCAGTATTGGACCAAAACTTAGTGAAAGTTCATGTACAGCAGATAACAAAGAAACTAGTGAAATCCTAAAGATCAGTATGAGGCTGTTTAGTACCCTAATAAACAACATGAAAATGGAAGATCATGACAGTTTTTTTATGAATGTTACCAAATCCCTGAAAATCTAACCAGTATCAATATGAATGTTGCAGATTTTGAAAGAGAAATTAACAATCTGCCCATGTGCTCTGCCCAGGTCCAGACTCTTGAAATTCCTTATTTATAAAGGCCTAAAGTGCCAGTAACATGAATGCTCAGTGTAATTTGGAGAAACTGCTTGTATATAGAGAAGATACCAGAAGCACCTAAATTACCAGATATACCGTAGTTCTGCTACACAAGGGAGTGAGCAGAGCATTGCCTAAAAATTATAGCCCAGTCACACTAACATCATACACAATAAAAGTTTCTGAAAGAGTGACACGAGTCAGATCTCCAGTGTTATGGAGAACAATGACCATGTAACATCCCCCAAATGGGAGTAAATGTAATGTATTCAAAGGGATGCACTGTAAACATACTCAAATGAGCCCTCTGCTCTGTCTATCAAGTTGGAACATTAGTTAATGGCTACACGTTCACTGTTGCTCTTACTGTAAACTTTAGCAACAGCCACCCCTTGTACTTGATGTTTGACCAACAAGTGCCATTGGTACAAGAATATTGCTACTACCTGCTCCCTGCTCGACTCTTTCCTGCTCGACTCATTACAAGTACTTACACTCTGTATTATAACCAAGTTTACATAAGAAAATCTTCACACTGCCACCACCTTCTTTTAAGAACCATGTAATTAAGCTAATTGACTGCAGAGCCGGACCAGTCAATAGCAGTAGAAATACCAAGAATCTAGATCCCTAATTAATAAAAATGAGGGAATTAATTTAAATGCATCTTAAACTAGACAAGGGGGAAAATGTTACTCTGTAAGGGTGCTTGTAGGACCACATGAAGCTTACAACACAATAAATCAAGATCTTGAAAATCAGAACTAAATTGAGGGGGAAATTGTTTAAACACACAAAATCATTAAAATCTGTTTATTAACACAAATATATGTAATGTGCTTCCTAGCCTAATAATTCCCTAATCTTGAGGCAATGATATGAAAAATATAATTGTATTAAACTCAAAACAAGACTTAACCTTCTACCTCTGCAAATAACCCCCCACCAAGATGTTTCTGGCTCTGGGAGTGGCCTCTCCTCTCTCCATGTACCGTCCAGTTCACACTGACTAGACCTAGCTTGCTTATTCAGCAAGCAAGCCTACTGACTGGCCTCACTGATTGCCACAGTTTCCTACCGAAACTAATTAATATGCACTAGGGAAATAAAGTGACTATTTTAAAATGAATTGTAAAGTGATTATCTGACTGAATCTCAATTCAGAAATGATGATAAATATATAGTCAAGTGAACCAGAATATGTTGTTAAGTACAATATTGAATAGACCACGAATTTCTCTAAATTAAGGAGTTAATAAACAAAAGAGCCTGTGGTAATTTGCTGCTGCGGGGGATAACATTTTGACCTGTGATGACTCGATGCACCTATGCCAAATCCACATAGTTATACTGTACATGCTAAAAACTCATTATCACATCCCTCTGACTCCCCATCTCTTTAACTAGACTACTCCGTACTCCCTTGCTAGTGAATACATTTGTACAAGACTCGGATATTAAATACTCTCACTGTGAACTAAATAGTACACTGACACATGGCAATATTTCCTTAGGAGGTTAAGTTGGTAGCCGGACCGTCCGCTTCTTGACCCGAGGTCATCGTGTTGCTGCCCCAACTATGACAAACCCTCCCTTATGTACTAAATTGACCGGCTGGCTATGCATGACTATAAAACTTCACTCCTCCTCTAACATATAATAAGAGGTGCAGAGACTATTCTCTACCAGGGCAATGGTAAGCCAGAGCTCTGTCAAAATACACACAACACTAATAATCTCTTTCCTTTGCATTGACATGTTATATCAAATTAGGTCAATGCTCTCCTCTCACTCAACATTGCTGGCATGTAGGTGTGCAGGGCACTTACCATACAATCCATTCAATAAGAATATGTCTCTCTAACTCCAGCTAGGTTGTTACAACCATCACAATCCAGGTCAACAGATTTAGAGCTGGAAGATCATGCCTTTCTGAATTAATCAACAACTATTGGGGAGACCTGTATTGGGGAGAGTCTTTATCTGGCATAGTCCAACCGGGCTATGGTGGATATGTGGGCCTGGCTGGGCTTGGGGAATAGAGGAACTCCCAGAAACCCATCAACCAGGTATGACAAAATCACAGAAGCCTTGGAAGAAAAATGAAATGCAGATGTGGTATGCAGAATTTGCAAAGGCATTTGATAAATATGATCATAGAGTAATTGCCCATAAAATGAGATTAATAAGAATAACAGGTAAAGTAAGGCAATGGATACAGTATTTAAATTCCTGTCTAAAACAGAATGCAATGACTAAGAGTCAAATAAAATCAAGTTCAAGCACAGTGATAAGTTCCGTACCCCAGGTCACAGTCCACAGCCCACATGGACGCTTGTGGTTCTCTGGTTGTAATTCATTTGACCAAGAAATGATACATTGGTAAACTTGTAGAGTTGGGACAAAAGATAGTGTTCTTTTCTGTCATGTTAGGAACTCTTAATCATGTTATAGATTGGTCTTCCATATTCATCTTGCCTGGCTCTACTCTTCAGAGATGCTGTGTTGTCAAATTGGCTCTGGTGCACAACATGCCCAGCATAAGTCTTAGACCTGGCTTTGTTGCTGTTAACTCTTCCCTTTCACAGTATATACTTGAATGCTCTATCCTTCTTGACAAACATAATCTGGCAGCTTTAGTCCCTCTAGGCACTCTTTCCTTTTCTTACATTGCTAGCTCTTTGTTTCTTCCCCCATTTGGCCTCTTGCAGTTTTCTTTATCATATTTTTGCCTTTTAATATTTCTAACTTTTTCTTATATATATACCTTATCCCTCATTCTTCTCCTTTCTTTTACTTCTAACCTTTCCTATACTTTATCTTATTTTTTAATTCATACATCTTATCTTGCTCTTATTACCTGTCATTTCGCACTCTTACCAATCACCTCACTCTCTTACCGTATTTAAATTGACATTCTCTTTCACATTTTTTTCCATTACTCGACTTAATAATGTTCCAGGATGGTCCAAAATTTGTCAATTCTCCACTTTCAGATTTGTGGTTTGGGTATATATATTAAATCTAAATTAAGGTATATGATATTCTGTATTTAACCTTTATAGCTGGCAGTAGAAGTGGCTCACCATCATCACGGCTTAGTTATGCTACATACTCTTCGCCTGGAGACTCGGGCACCTTAGGGCGTTCTCGCCGCAGAAGTGGTATTCCACGTTCTACTGGTACTTCACGCGAACCATCACCTAACCGTTACAGTGGATTAAGTGGCATATCACCTTCTAAATCACGTTCAAGATCAATTTCGGGTAAATATATAACATTTATCCATATCTTAGTGTATTTAAGCACTCCTGAATGCGTTTATAATTTTTCATTTGTATTTGAAAATATTAAATTAATAAACCCCTTTGTAACTCCCTGAAGCTTTACTAAAATGGCATCTGACTACTAGATCACATCAGCTGTAGAGCCTGTGTTCAGCCTACCGGGTTCCAGAGCCAGAACCTGGAACCTAATTTGAATCTTTGGCTATTTGAAGTAGGGGTGGGGTCCATACAATTCAGATTACTGAGCATTGACAGTATTTGGGTATTGCACAAAATCAATTGTGTTGATGAGCCACATGGTGAAGTAATGATTTACTCTTTGTGATTTTGGGAATACCCCTGCTTGGCCGTTTACCGCTTGGTTTTCGGCCGCTCTTTGTGTGCTCGGGTGTTCTGTCTCCCTTGTTCGCCTTAGAGTAAGGGGCAGTGTTTGCACTGGTGGGGCGCGGGGTACTGTGCAGCTTGTCTTTACCAATCATAGCGGCCGGCTCTGTTCCGCTTGGGTACGCTGTCCTCTTGCGGGGTTTTCTTTTTCTTTTGTTTATATACCTGGTGGGGGGGTCTGCCTTCGTTCTTGCCCCTTGTGTCCCTTGTGTTCTGAGTATTTCTGGTGGTACCCCCTGCTAGGTCCCCGTGAGTGTACACGTCCCGGGGGTTCAGCTCTTAGAGAGTTGTTTAGTAGCTTGGGTGCCGGTTAGCAGTACCCTGCCTGGGATTACCTGAGCGCGAGTCCTCTTAAAGTAAACGCTCGGGACCCTGGGAAACCCCTGGGGGCGCGCGGGTCCGATGGATGTGACCCCAGAGCCCCCCCCTCGCTTCCAGCGAGTTTGAGGGTTGCTCTCACCTTTTGTCTCTGGGTGACTCTCTGTTTTGCCTCCGTCTGCTGCCTGTGGGGTCGGTGACACCTTCGACCCGGTGTCCTGCGAGTTTGGTTGCTCGTTGTGGCTCGGTTACCCAGTTGTGCTAACAAAGCGGGTGCGGGCAGCAGGGGCGTTGCACTTGAGCCTTGGTGGTGGCAACGTTCTCGTGGTTTCCTCCCCGGGAGCCCCGGGGCTGCCCCGTTGTATTTCGTTTTGGGACTTGGGGGTGTTGGTTGCTTCGGTTCCATCCACGCCCCCTTGTCTTTCCCCTGGTTCACCCTTCCTGCCTGCATCCGGTTCCTTACCGTCTGTAGGTTCAGGGCGGGGTGTTTGGTGGTGTTGAGACTCGGGCAGTCTCGGGGAATTCCCCTTCCGGGGTAGTGACGGGGGCATTTGGGCCTGTTCCTCCAGCCGTGTTGTATGAGTCTGCCAGTGGGCTCCCTTCCTTAGTGTTTTCACGGCTGCCCCGGTTTTCTGGTACGGCCGGGGCTTTGGGGGAACGGCTCGGCCCCGGGGCCTGTCGTGTAGGTTCCCGGGGCTGGGGAGGGGCTGACTTGGGGGGGCCTTGGCCCCGTTAGACCCCGTGGGGGGTTTTATCCCCCTCTAGGCGGGGCTTGTGGTTACGCGGAGTGGGGTCTTTCCTCCCCACTCGCCGTACGTGCTGTTGGACGTCGGCCCCTCCCCGGGCTCGGTTCCTTGGCCTTTGAGTCGGTTGGTTCCGTCCTGTGGGTGGATGTTTCCTCCCCCGCTTTTTGGGACGGTGTTTTTGTCATGTTTCCCCGTTCGATGGGGTTCTGCGTGACTTTTGATCTCGGGTGCGCCTTCGTGTGCCTTCGGGACTAGTGTTGGCTTCTGTGTTCTCGAGGGTACGGGAAGGTTTTTCGCTACTTCCCGCATTATTGGAACGTCTGTCGGCTCCTAGTACTTGTCGCCCTGTTGGGCTACTTGTCGCCCTGTTGGGCTACTTGTCGCCCTGTTGGGCTACTTGTCGCCCTGTTGGGCTACTTGTCGCCCGGTTGGGCTACTTGTCGCCCGTTTGGGCTACTTGTCGCCCGTTTGGGCTACTTGTCGCCCGTTTGGGCTACTTGTCGCCCGTTTGGGTTCCCTTTTTTGGGCTCTTTGCTTCTTTGGCCGGTTTTATTGTTCCTGCTTCCTCTTTTGGCTCTTTTTCTCGTGCAATAGTCCTGGCTGGCGCCTTCCCGCAGGGAGGGTGTGCGGTTCGGCCAGCGTGTTATGCGCATGCGCCGTGGAGTTTGTTTTGGTCTGGCCGATGGTTCAGTGCTGGGGTTTTGCGCCCTTTTTTGCTACAGTGCTTCGCCTCTCGTTCTTCTCCCTGGCTGCGGTATGTGCCCCTTTGCGCCAGGGGTGTCCTGGTTCCCAGTTGTGGGGAGGACACCGCGGTTTTCTGTGTCATGGGTGTGGACCGCCTCCTTCGCCTCTCCCTGTTCTCCTGCGGGTCCGGCTCTGGCGTCTTCACCTGGCGGTGCTCCCAAGTTCTTCTGGGCACGGTTGAGTCGTGTCAAGTTCGAGCCACCGTTCGCCAGGTGAGTTTCTGCGGTCTGGCGTCTTTTGGCCGGGCGCTGGATGCGGCGGTGTTCATATACCCGTCTTTATTTGGGTATAATTTTGTACGACTGAGACCGTTTGCACACCAGTGACTGTCCCTTTATCACCCCTTCCTGTCCCCCTCATGTGCATGTCCAACCCATGCTGGAGTCATTCAGGGGACCCTCCTTTTTTTTAATGTGGTGAGGTGTGGGGGTTGTAGGGTTGGTTCTGTACTCACCTGGTGAGGCTCCTGGCTGTGCTTGCAGGATTTGAGCTCTGGCTCTTGGGTCCCGCCTATCTGGTAGAACTTGCGGGATAGTACCAGTGGAGTGCAGTGGTGCTATTGGCACTTTTGGGGAACACTGTATTACCATCAGTGGTCTGTGCTTGTTACACGACCTACTTGCGAGCATAAGCCTTCTTGCTGGTTCGTCCGTGGACTTCCAGGGCGCACTGGCCTGTTTTCGTATGGCAGTTCCGGCCCGTCCTGGTTGTGGGGGTATGTGGGCCGGTGGACTGCTCCTAGCGGCTGCCTGGTGGGCCATCCTCTGGCCGGTCTGGCCTGACCTTGGGCCGGGCTTGAGGTGTACAAGAGCTCCCAGTACCTCATCCAGCAGGTATCGAGCGGGGTTTCTCCGCCGTCGGTCGCCTGGTGCAGGTTTCTGGGCCTGCAGGGTTTTGTCGTGTCTCCGTTGGCCCTGTCTGGGGTCTGCCTGCTCCGTTCTCTGCCTTTGCAGAGGGGAGTTGCTATTTGCATGTTGCAGTGGTGCCTGTTGCTGCTGCTGCTGCACGTGAGCATTGGTACCGTGTTTCACGGTGGCGTGTCCTTGTTCCTGTGTCCGGTTGTGGAGTGGCGCTTTGCTGCCGTTTTGTGCCTGGGGATTGCGTGGGGTTTTTGTCCCTGCCTGATTGTCCACCCCTGGTTGTTCTCCTGGTTTTTTTTTTTTTTGTGCTTCTGCTCTTTCTTCCTGCCTCTTCTGCAGCAGGAATGTTCTGCGTGTGTTCTTAGGCGTTGGTCAGCCTGTGTCCTGTGATGTGCTTCTTTGTCTCGGTCTGTTGCAGTTGTTCGTGCCCCTTGGTTCGGGTCCTGTTCTGGCGGCGACCCTTCCGCCTTCTTTGGTTTTCCTAGCTTGCCCTGCCGGTTGTTGTTGTTTTATTTTTTTTGGGGGGGGGGGTCTTGCGATGTCTCGCGTCGGACCCGTCGTTTCTGAACTCCTGGCGGGCTTGCATGCTTCGGAGTTTTTCTGTTCGGCAGACGTTCCATCTCCTTGTGCCGCCTGGGTTTCGGTGGTCGCGCCCGAGATCTTCTCGCGGCTCCGCCTTTTTCCTGGGCTCGGGGGGGCCTTGTCGGGGCTGCTTATGTTCTGCCTCGTGGTCTCGCCTCCGGTTGGTGGTCGGGTGGCTTCGTGGTAGGTGTCCCACCTGCGTGCTTTCTTGGCGGCAGTATGGGGTATTTTGGCGGTCCTTCCTTTTCCTGTCCCTTCTTCGGTGGGTCCTTCTTGTTGGCTTGGTTTACTCTCGGCTTGGTTTTCTAGTGGGGGTTGGGGGCCGTCGTCTTGCCACATACTGTCGCCTCTTTTCGTGCGGCGCAGGCGGAGCCGCTTCAGCTTGCTTTCGGTCTTGGTGTTGCTTCTGCACCGTTAGTCAGCTGTCTTGTGCGTCATTTCACCTCCGGCCTGTTCGTGCGCCGCTTGCACCATCCTGGTCTCTGGTCAGCGTGCTCTGTCTTCTCCTCGGTTGGTAGTGCCCCTTCGGTTCCGGTGTGTTTTTTCGTCGGCTCTTTCCTTTGGGCCTTTGCCTCTGGGGGTCGGTTCGCTGTGTTTTCTTGCTCCTTCGGTTTTAGCGTTTTGGTTGTTTGATGGCAGCAGTCTCCATCTTTTCTGGCGCGGGGTGGGGCTGCTGCATTCTGGAGGGGTCCAGGGTTTGTTGGTGCTTCGTTGGTCGGGCCGGGGGTGTGTCGTTTTTGTTCAGTGGCGGCCCTCTGCTGTTGTTTGCGTGCCACGGCGTTTGGGTCCGGAGCGCGTTTTGCGTTCCGGTTCTGTTCTTCCCGGTTCGCGGGTGATGGTGTCCCGGGTGGTCAGCCGTGTTCTTGCGGCTAAGCTGCCTGTGTTCTTCCCTCATGCCTGTGGCGTTCGTGGCTTCGCTGCTCTCGCTGCCGTCTGGGCGACGTGGCCTTGCAGTCTTTCGGGCATGGATTTTTGGTGTTCGTGCAGGGGCCTTGCTGCTCGTGGTTCTCATGTTGTTCCCGGGATTTTCGGGGCTGTGGCGCCTTGGGTTGGCGTTTGCTGCCGGTTGTCTCGCCTCCTTGGGGGGTGCGTGGTGTCCGCCTCCCGGTTTTGTCCCTTTGACCTTCCTCTGTGGGTAGTTAGCTCCGGGGAGCCGACGGGGCTCCCCCCAGAAAACCAGCGTTGAATGTAATGAATTTTTTTGAATATCGTTTGATTATATAATTTTTAAAATAGTCATATATAAGTTTGTTTAAAAGATTTTATGCATTGTACAATAGTTTAAAATAAAATAAAATTGTTAACATTACGGTGTCCTGACAGGCAGGCCAGGCCTGTCAGCAATCCTCAGTGAAATGAACATGTTTGTTCCTCTGAATAATTTGAACAGAACACAAACTGTTCAGACTATCCAAGAATTCATTAGAGTGCAGTTCATGTGAGTGGGTAACCACAATATTTAAGTACTGTTACTGTACTGGCTATTTTTTTTTTAATGTAAATACTGTACTTGTTTTCAGGTGCATCAGAAATGCCTCCCCAGGTGCCAGGAAAATCAAGACAAGTGATGGCTCAGAAAATCTTGCAGCAAAGCCGTGAAGCAGAGAGTGCGTTAGCAGATGCTCTAGTTAGTCTACCACCTGGAGGAGTCCTTGTGAGTACCAGTCCGTGGTACATGAGTCTGCATGTAGGTAAACATTTTAAAGTGACAAACACTCTATCTATCCACAACACAAGTAAATGTATTTCCTTCAGAATTTCCATAGCATTTTATTAGGTGCATCGATATGCATGTGTGTGCTCTGTCAGGCATGACTTAGTTTTGTTTAATATTCTCCATTCAATATCGTTATTCATCTCTACTTGTTTGATAGTATTGTGTGTGTCATGATCATTGTTGATATTCTTTTTATATTAAATGTAAATTACTTATGCATTCTGCTTTTGGAGTTTGATATTAATACAGTACTGAGAAGGGTAGTGATCCATGATTGACGTAACATCTCTGGCTAACAGTATCTTATTTGGTCTTTTTGTGTTTTTCTATTTCTTCACTACTCAAATGTATAAACATTAAATCAGTTGTCTTTTTCTAACTTATATTGTATTAATAAAAAATGCATCAGAGCTTTCATGTGGATTATAATGTATTAACTGATGATTGTTAAGTAGCACTTGTCCACATTCTCAGTCAATTTCATACACATTTCTCCTCCATGTTTCTAACATTACTAACTGTTACTGTGATACATGAAACCCTGTTTGCTAAACCTTGGCTTAACGTAAAATTAATTGTTTAGTAGAAAATTCAATAATGTCGATTATTAACTGTGTGTGTAAATTATGGTTTCATAAATATAGTATGAACTAGCTCAAACGAACAATGGTACATGTGGTTCGGCCACTTTGTTGCTTTGGAGCATTTGTTCAATCTGTTTATGGCACAATTAGAAATTGTGAAGCTCTTGGATACCTGGATAAAGGTATACTTTATACGGAAAAGGGAACAGGAAGGATGCTCTAACTACTGTTCATGCTTTGTAAAATATTGGACAGTATGATCAGGAAGAAGTTAGTAGAGCATCAGGAGAAAGCAAATTTTGTAATGGTGAGTCAACTTGGATTTAGAGATAAAAGTTGTATAGCAACCCTGATAAAATTTGCTAGGGTTGTTAAAATATTACAAGAGGGAAGGTGCTGAATGGCTTATGTTTTCCAAGACTGTCAAGAATCCTTTGATACCATCCCTCACAAAGGCTAGTGTATGAAGCAGTCAGGGATATTTCAAGGCACTTAACTTGATTAGGGGTGCCTGACAAACAGGAAACAGTCATAGGGAGAGATAGCAAGCAGTTACTGCAGGTCTTAATACATTTGGATTTATATTCTTCCTGATCTGTGTGAATAACGTTGCAAAGGAATAAGCTTCTATACGTCAGTGCTTACAGGTGATGCCAAGCTGATAAGAAGGGTAAGAACTGAATAGTATTGGAGGTTATGGCAAGACAACCTAAACAATCTACAGGATTGGGCAAACAACCACTGTACTGTACTAGAATTTAATATATGTAGCTATAAAGTATAGTGATGAAAATTAGGAGATAAGAAAGGCCTAGATGGCATTACAACATAAAAGGGAGGCAACTGCATTAATCAGAAAAAGTGAAGGATATAAATGTGAATGTAACCAGATTTAATGATGTAAGCACAAACCCACACAGTTAAATCAGCAGCTGATGTGAAACTACTAATTATACATCTTTCCTCAAAAGACTTGAACAAGGAATCTTTCACAACTATACAGTTCCTGTGTTAGACCAGTTCCAGATTAAGCCTGTGCAGTACTATCATGAATTATCTACCACATGAAAGGCCAGAGATTTCCTATAGACTGGTGCTAAAAATAAAAAGGCTTATCTATGACCACAGCTTTATGGCCCAGTGTCACTTACACTAAAGAACAACCAAAGCAAATGTGATCATTATGTACAAGATACCAAGGTAAAACACAAGGTTGATAAGGATAGTCTTATTTCACTTGGGATGAATAGAACTAGGGAGTACAGATGGAAGTTGCATTTATGAACCGAGTATGGGTACTCAGGTATTGAGTGGTAAACACTTAGAATTAATTGATGACAAAAATAAATTAACTGATTGAGAAAAGTAAATGCACCAGTTACCTAATAGCTAATAAAATCCCGACCATCAACCGTGAAGAGCCGAGTCCCCCAGGGTATTGTGCTAGCTCCAGTACTTTCTCTCATCCTCATATCAGACAGAGAAGGACACGAACTATAGTACCGTATCATCCTTTGCAGATGACACTAGGATTTTTATGAGAGTAGACAACATAGAGGACACAGCAAACTTCAGATCAGATGTAAATCAGATCTTTCAATGGCTTACAGAAAATAATATGGTATATAATGAAGATAAGCTTGAGCTCTTGCACTACGGAAAAAATGAAAATATAAAAACGGAAACCGCATACAAAATGCAGTCAAATCATAACATAGAACAAAAAAGCAATGTAAAGGATTTGAGTGTACTGTACTCATGTCAAAAGACCTTTTCTTTAAGGAATACAATAAAGTAGCCGTCACAGTTGAAAAAAAATGAAAGGTTGGGTAACAAGAACCTTTCAAACTAGAGGTGCTATTCCAATGATGATACTTTTCAAAAAGCTAATTCTCTCTCGAGTGGAATACTGTTGCACAATGACAGCCCCTTTCAAAGCTGGAGAAATTGCGGACTTGAAGAGCATGCAGAGATCTTTCACAGCTAGAATCCACTCGGTAAAACATCTAAACTATTGAGACCGAATAAAATGCCTAAATTTGTATTGTCTTGAGCGCAGACGGGAGAGATACATAATAATTTACACATGGAAAATAGTAAAGGGGCTGGTCCCAAATCTGCACACAGAAATAACATCACATGAAACCAAAAGTCATGGCAGTATATACAGAATATTCCCCGTTGAAAAGCAGAGGTGCAATAGGTACGCTGAGAGAGAACTTTAACATCAGAGGCCCGAAACTGATGAACATGCCTTCACTACACATAAGTGGCATAACTGGCCGACCCCTCACAGTGTTCGAGAGGATTTGATAAATACCTCCAAAGGATACCTGATCAACCAGGCTGCGAGCAACCAACATCCAACAGCCTGGTTGACCAGTCCAGCAACCAGGAGGCCTGGTTGTGGATCAGGCCGGGGGATGGGGGGGGTGGACATTGAGCCTGAAAATCACTGCAAGGTAACTTCAAGGTAGCCAGGAGACTGTGCCTTAGTGCCAGATCTCACTTCTTGTAGAAAGTCGTTTCAGTACAGTACAAACGTCTTTTCGCATCACACACTTGATGTTCATTTTGTAGAATATATGTATGTACAGAGAATGAAAGGAAGTTAAGTGAACGATTTTGTATTTTTAAGGTGATTATATCATAATATTTATGTTGTAAAGTTTGCTGGCACCTGTTATATATAGTGCATATTAAGGCTGTACCATTTTTGAGTATCTGTCTTCTTTGAGCTTTGACTTCTTATATTGCCCTCCTATTTCTCCTGGGTTGATGCCTACCCACCACATTATAATGGACAAAGATTGGTATTTAAGAATTTTTTTGATATGTAAATAAGCTTGGCATAATGAACTGGGGATCCTTCCATGATCAGCTTGAATGTTTTAATATATTATGTTTTAGCGATTATAATTGTAGTTCCTTATTGTTATAGTGTATTAAATTGTAGTTTAATTTTTATATTTATTTAATGATACTCTGTGAATCATAAGATATTCCAGCATAGATCAAGAATACTATCTTTCACAGCCCACAAGTGACTGGACCACAACTACAGTAGTTTGAATTTTAGAAAATTAAAGCAATAAGATTTCATATGCAATCCTATATATAGACATTTGAACTAACCATATTTTCTGTGGGGAGCCCCTACGGCTCCCTGGAGCTTATCGGGCTAATGTATGTTATATTAGACCAGAACATTAGCTATGGAGTTCAGACCTACCAGGGGCCAGCTTCAGAACCTGGCCCCTTCAGAGAGGTTTCAGGGAGCAATGGCCCTGGAAAACCCCCCCTTGTGGTTGGAGGTTTTCCTTATCTGCCATCGACCGGGATTAGGCACCCAGAAAGGTAGGCATAACGAAACAAACCCCTACATGGTAAAAAACTAAAACAGAAAACTGAACAGAGGTAGAAACTCTCTACAATCCCAAGGAAACAAGCAAACAAGCAAACTTCACAATTTACTGCCACGCCGATTGTCCGCGCAGCCCTCCTAGCACCAGTTCGTAAGCTAATGTCAACTGGGACAAACGCTTCCCTGGCCTCAGTTTCCTAGGCAGTGTTTGCCTTCGTGGTGTTCACTGCCGTGTGTTGTGTTGTGCAGTGGCCAGGTGTTCCTCATCAGTACCGGGGCTGCATGGGCTTAACACTTTTGCGCACCCCGCGCGCCACCCCTCGACAGGGCGATATGGGCCCCAGCGTGTCACGGAAGCGCGCGTCAATTCCGAAAAGTGTATACTCTCTTCAACTTTGTCACCTCAATTTTCGTTCTACGAGATTAAGTTTGGTATCATTGTGTTCGCAATAAAATTCTCTACAGCACTAAATGCATATGAACTCCAAAAGCCCGGCTAATTACCCGCAGCAAGCAGAGAAAGTGCGAACGAGTTACCCGGGAGCGCGCAGATGCGATAAAATGTTTTCACTATTTTCACTCTGGTCACCTCAATTTTCGTCCTAGGTCTTTCATTTTGGTCTCAATGGGTTCGTAATAGAATTCTCTAGAGGAATATTAGCATATAAAATAAAAAACCTGGTCACGCTCCAACCGCTGACGAGTTGAAGACGGGCCACGCGTTAGCCGTGAGTGAGCGCTCAGACACCTTCCCGCTACACTCCCAATTCCCGGCCACATATGTTTAGTATTATTTCCTGGTGGTAATCTCAATTTTCGTGTTACAGCGCTCATTTAGGTATGAAAATGTTCCTAATAGAATTCTTCAGATGGATATGTGCATATAAGGGCCAATTGAAGAACAACATTGCCTGTACAATACGGGAAAGTATGAACAAACAAAAATAAATAAATAAATAATAAACAAATTTGCACTTACCACCTCAGTGTTGTGTGTTGAACATGACATGGGTTGAACATTTGTTTTATCCACTCCACCTGCTCCTGGAAAACGTTTCCTGCAGGGTCAACCCATGTTTTGTATAGGTGGAGTGGATGGTGGGGGTTAGTCTCACATGCTTGTACTTCTCCTGTACACTACTCAGCTTCTGCTTTTCATGCCTTTCTTTCGCAATTTTCTTCCTGGAAGGGCCTTGTTCATGATCACTATCCATCGTGGAGTAAGCGTAGATAGTTTCTGAAGCCGCAGTAAGAAATATAGCCACGGAAAATAGCCGAAATGTTCACACGTTTGAGACGAGAGGGGAGGCGACACCGGTCACAACAGTGGAGCGAAAACAATGGGCCGACGGCGTGTGCTGCGCCGCCTGCGGGCCACTAGGCACAACAAAGAAAATGGGAAGACATCGGCACGCATTTTAAAACCAGTCCCCAAAAAATTGGATAAAAACCTGATTTTTGGCGAATTTTTAAAGTGGATGACGCAATGCTGCGTCATCCCCGAGCGAAAGTGTTAAGGGCTTCCTTCTCTAAGCGCCCTGTGAGTACTGCCCCTGCGGGACAGGGTTATCTTCCCTGGGTCGTTCGGGAACCATTCCCATAGAGGCTCTTGCTGCTTGGCTTTTGCCTCGCCCTTGGGGCCAGCTGGGGCTTGGGGCCCTTGTTTGGCCCTGGGTAGGGACTGGTGTTGTGCTGGTTAGGGCGTCAAGGTGTTGCGTGGCCTGCCACCTGCGCTTGCAGTTCTGGGGCTGTTTGCCCCGGCCTGGGTCTTCTGCTTCTGGGCGGGTTTTTTTTTTGTCCCTCTAGTCTGCCTGCTTCCCACATTTGCTGGTGTGTTTTTGGCTCTATTGCATCGGTCACGGCTCCTTGGTGTGGTGGCCATTTTCTTTTCTGCAGATAACGCCCCGCTTGGCCACCAGGGCGGTGCTGTTGTTTGTTTACCTCGGCCGGGGTGTGGGAGCTCGCATTTTGGGTGAGTTTTTTTCACTTTCAGGGGTTTTATCCTCCTGTTGCCATTTCTCTGCTTTTCTGGGGTTTTATGCCCATCATCTGTTCCTCTGGGAACGCTTGGGTGTTGGTTTTTACCCCGGTTTTTGCATTTTGTCTGTTTTGGGCCTGTGCCCTAGGGTTTGGGCTCAGTGTCTCTGTCTGTTTATGCTTGCTCCCACACCTTGTCCCTCCCGGTTTTCGGTCTGTTTTGGCCGTTTCCCTGGGGGTTCTGTTTGGGTGCTGTGTTTTGCCCTGCTGTGGTATAATTCCGCCGGCAAATGTGGTAGTTTGGGCTCCCCTTGGTTCGATTCTGGGTTCCTGTGGGTTCTTTGGTTTTGTTCCGGAGGTTTCTTCCTCTTGGGCCCCCTTTGTGGGTTCAGGGGGCTTTTGTTACCTCGTTTGTGACCCGGTTCTGCCGTCTGGGATTCCGGGGTCTTCCTGGCTTGCAGGCTGATCTTTTTGGGTCTTGGCACATGTTGTGGTCGTGCCGGGGCCTTGGGTTTTTGTTGTCGTGGTGGGCCTTTTGGTGCTGTTTTTGCGCTCTTGGTGCTTTTGGCTCTCCTCTGGCACAGAGGTTTCTGCTCTTTTGGTACTGGTGGTAGGTTCGTACACTTACAGCCTTGCTCCGTCCTTCTGGCGACGGCTGAGACGGCTGCTTTTCAGAGGGGTCATTGGGTTATTGATGCTTGGTTCGGCCGGGAGTGCGACATGTGTTGTCTGGTTGTGGTTCCAAGTCATTACCTGCGTGCCGTGGCTGGGGATGCTCTTTTGGTTGATCCGGTTTCCCTCGTTCCCTGTTTCAGGACTCGGGTCTGCCAGGTCGTCCGCAGTTTTCTTTAGTCTACTGGCCTGCGGTCTATCCTTCCGCCTGTGCTGTTTGGACGTTTGCAGCTTTCGCTGCCATGTTTGGTGACGTCTATGGCTCAATTTGGGCGCGAGGATTTGGGGGTCGCACAGGTTCCTGGCCACCTGTTCATTTGTGAGCGTGTCTGCTCCTATTTGTTCTTGTGTTGCTTTGGGTTGCAGGTTGCTGCCTGTTGTCTCGACTTCGCGTTGCGGAGTTTGTGGCAGCCGCTTCCCAGGTCAGACATTTCTTTTCCTTCTCTTTGGGTATGAAGCTCCAGGGAGCCATAGGGGCTCCCCACACAAAACTAGCATTGACTGTAATGAAACACCATTTTCTGGGTGAGCCCCGGAGGCTCCCTGGCAACCCTTCCTCCCACCGGTCGGCGTTTTTTTCCCGTTGGTTGAAGCTTAGCTTCCGAACTGGTGCTAGGCAGCCGGCGCGGTAAAGTTTGGGGCCCCCCTTCCTCTCTCGAGGCGGGGAGGGCTGCGCGGACAATCAGCACGGCAGTAAATTGTGATGTTTGCTTGCTTCCTTGGGATTGTAGGGAGTTTGTACCTCGCTGTTCGTTTTTTTGTTTTAGTTTCTTACCATGTGGGGTTTGTTTTGTTATGCCTACCTTTCTGGGTGCCTAACCCTGGTCGATGGCAGATAAGGTAAACCCCCAACCACAAGGGGGTTTTCCAGGGCCATTGCTCCCTGAAACCTCTCTGAAGGGGCCAGGTTCTGGCGCTGATCCCTGGTAGGTCTGAACTCCATAGCTAATGTTCTGGTCTAATATAACATATATTAGCCCGATAAGCTCCAGGGAGCCTCCGGGGCTCACCCAGAAAATGGCGTCTCATTACATTCAACGCTGGTTTTTTTAAACTTTTGGTGGTGTTTGAAAGAGTAAGAACAACCTTCAACCAGCTGCATTATTAACTGTATTTTTGCACACAGCGATCTCCAAACAGAAAGATGTACGCAAAAGCCTTTGAGGACCAGTCTGACAATGACAGTGAAACATCCAGCGTCTGTTCTGAGCGTTCTTATGATTCCTGCAGGAGAAACGATGTAAGTGTTTTTAAGTGTTGTACTATATTGCCTTAACAAGGAAAAGGGAAAGAGGGATTCCTTACATCATCTAAATACTGTACTTTTACCAATGATGATTAGTAATATTATTATTATTATTATTATTATATTTTATTATAATTAATCAAAGAATAAAGAGCATAATATGTACTAAAGTTTGTTAATTTTGTGGTAGCTTGTCTCAGTGAAATTAAATATAAACTTAATAGGAAGGGTTCCATAAGTAATACATTGGTTTGGTACTAGTGGTTTATTTTGTATTTTGAATCTTGTATCTTGTGTGATATGTTCCTCTATATCTGATGTATCATATATTGTGTGACAGGATAATGCCCATTTAGTTGTCTGATACTTCAGTGTGTTTATTCCTCTCATACACATGTTTTATTCTCTAAACATTTACAATAATCTTGATATCCCAATGTATTTCTTCCTTGTATTCAGACTTCATTATAATCATTTCATAATTTTGTTATGTATGAATTAGAGAATAAGGGTGACTAATACATTATCCATGACAATCTGTTATCAAAATTTCACTATGCAGATATTATTTCTTACGCTCAAACTTAATAACAATTTTGTTGTAAATATGTGTGTGTGTGTAATTACCTAAGTGTACAGTAGTTACAGACGAGCTACACAATTGAGTGTGTATATGTGTGTGTGTGTGTAATTACCTAAGTGTAATTACCTAAGTGTAGTTACCTAAGTGTAGTTACAGGATGAGAGCTACGCTCGTGGTGTCCCGTCTACCCAGCACTCTTTGTCATTTAACGCTTTGAAGCTACTGACGGTTTTGGGCTCCACCACCTTCTCACTTAACTTGTTCCAACCGTCTACCGCTCTGTTTGCGAAAGTGAATTTTCTTATATTTCTTCAGCATTTTTGTTCAGTTAGTTTAAATCTATGACCTCTTGTTCTTGATGTTCCAGGTCTCAGCAAATCTCCCCTATCAATTTTATCAATTCCTGTTACTATTTTGAACGTAGTGAGGCCTGGATCTGTTTTAAATTTGTCTGCTATACCTTTCACAAAGTTACTTTCTCTCCTCACTGCTGTGTAATTATTTCTTGCTTGTTTGTAATGCTGATGTGTTTGCTGGTTAGACCTCTTCCGATGTTGAACCCTTTTTCTTGTCTTTTCCCCTCTGGCTCTCTCACAATTTCTGTTGAACCAACCCTGTTTCCTAGGTCTGCATCTCTGTTTTGGTACGAATGTTTGTGTGCCTTCATCGTATATTTCACAAAATTTAGGCATACATCTCATTTACTTTCTTGCCTAGCAACCAGTCTGTCCAATTAAACTCATTAAAGAATGAGTGCTAAGTTCTCCATAGTGTCTTCTCTTGAAATTGAGTTTATTAACTATTTCAATGTCCCCATTCTCTTCTAGATTATATCACAAAGCATATTTATTTTTGTTATTATATAACACAAATAATAACAAAGTGTGTGTGTGTATGCCTTTGTGCTATCTGCATCAGCTGTGCACCTCTTTTTGCTGAACATGACTTTGATACTTTTCTTAATTCTAGCACTGCTTATTAATTTTCATTTGTTCATGGAATTATTTAGGAGCTCCAGGGAGATTATCTCCAGGAGCCTATCCCAGAACAGGAATAATCCACAACATTAGAGCACCATTCCCAGAAAGCATTGTCAACACAAAATTGTAGGCACAGTCACCATTTTCCACTTAGTCATATCAGTTTATTGTTTTATACATCTTGCACAGTTTAGCTTTACCATTGTAACTGTCTAACACAGTAGTCTATGCAACATTGTACTTGACACATATTTGGTACTTGAATAGGTTATTTATTTTTTCAGTATTTCTGCATGATACTCATCACAGCATGCTTGCAAACCTTGTTTAACTCCAACATGTGCAACTTTGATTTATTATAATGCTATCTGTCTCCATAATATTTTGGTCTAAAATAAAATAAATGAAATAAATGTAGAGGTTCAGTAATTTCCTAAGGGTGATTACCAAAGTGCAGTTACAAGATGAGTGCTATGCGTGTGGTGTTCAGTCTTCCCAATACGCTTTGACACTACTGATGGTTTTGGCATCCACCATCCACTTGTCTAACCATCTACCATTCTGTTTGCAAAAGTGAACTTTCTAATGTTTTTGTTTTCGTAGCCTAAATCTAATATCTCTTGTTCTTGAAGTTCCAGGGCTTATGAATTTTGTTTTATCAATTTTGTTGATTCCCATTACTATTTTGTATGTAGTGATCATATCTCCTCTTTTTCTTCCATCTTCTAGCTTTGACATGAAATGCTTGCATGAAATGAGATCTCTAGCCTCTCCTTATAGTTCTCATCTTACAGTTCCAGAAGCTATTTTGTTGCATGTCTTCCACCTTTCTAGTTTGTTGATGTGTATCTTGAGAAATGGGCACCAAACTGCTGTTGCTTATTCCAGTTCTCATTTACTATCGAGCTGCTCCTTTGACCATGTGCTGCTTGGCGGTGGACTATATGCATTTATGATCATTAGTTTATCATCCTCATGGCAGATCTCTAGTGCTATTATGTCAACTTCTTGTGGATTGGCAGTCATTATTTCGTTCACCTTTAGGTGTTCTTTCACCACCACAGCAACGCCACCGCCTTTCCTAATTTTTCTGTCCCGTCTCCAAATTAAGTAGCCCCTTGGGAATATGACCTCATTTAAAATAACATCTTCAAGTTTTGTCTCCGTCAGTGCAACAATGTCTGGTGTCTGCAGCTGTATTACATCACTTAACTCCAGTATCTTTGATCTCACTCCATCCATGTTGGTGTATGCAATCTTCAGGAACTTGTTCCCCCTCTCCTTATTCTTCACTCTCTAATGATTTTGTTGGTTTGCCTTTATGTACCACTTTACTGGTCTGCCTACCCCTATCACTTTGTAGAAAAAAGAATTGATTTCTTCTTCATTTCTGCTCTCATTTAAATGTTTTGCCTCGGCGAGGTTCAGTTTCAGCTTCTCTCTATCTTCTTTTGAAAGATCTTGTCTTAACGACCACATTTTCCCATCCTCATCACTTTGCAGTTTTCTAGCATTCCTTAGTACTTCTTCCATCTGTTTGGCACCATTTAGGTACCTTCCCTTTCTTTGCCTATTCTCCTGTAGTCGCAGACATTCTCTATGGTAGTAAGACCTTCCACGAGGCCAACAATTTTATCTACTACTTTCACTACTTCTACAGCTCTTTCTGACCTAGATGTTATCTCCTTTTGTTTGCAACCAAAAATGATCAGGGACTTACTCCGATCAACTGAGTTTTGCACCCACTTCGGGTTAGATGCCAATTCCTTTCTCACTTCCAGCCTAATGTTTGTTTCATCTTGGTTACTGCAGTGTTTGGCTTCCTTTACTGCTTCTTCAATTTTTTCCTTCTCCTTGGCCACTTGTGCATAGGCGAGTTGCATATCTTTCTTGCACTGTTCTATTCTCTGTGTAACTTCCTCCATCTGTGCTGACAAAAGCTGTTTCTCCTGTTGAATTTCCTTACCTAACCTATTGTAGTCATTTATGTTTAAATTTACTTTAACTTCTTCCAAAGCTATTTTTAAGAGTTTATTTTCTTCTTCCATGGCTTTGCAATTTGTTTCCAATTGATTCTTATCCTTGCACAAGTCTTTCACTAAACCCTCAAGACATAAAACTTTTATTTAAATGGTCATTACTTTCTTTCAATTTACTAATTATTTCTACATGAGAGTTCACTATAGTATCTAATTTTACCAACTTGTTGTATAGACTGGTTATATCAATGCTTTCTTCATTGAATCCAGCAAAATCAAGCTCTGTTTTGTATTTCCTCTTGCCGGCGGCCATCTTGAATGTTCTTCTCTGCACAGGAAACACTAGGGCAACTTTTTCTCATCCAATTTTTCACTTCCCTTAGCACATTCCTGTTATGTCACCTATTTTTCAAAAGCACTATACCTTTATGTTCTCTGGGACACCACTCACTACCATCAACCTGTACTACAATACTTAGGATTGTTGAAATATGCTGGAGCTCCTCTGCTGCAAGTGTTGACCCTAGGGGTGTCACCTTTTGAATGTGACTTCTGTCTTCTAGTTTTGTGTATGTGTGTGTGTGTGTGTGTGTGTGTGTGTGTGTGTGTGTGTGTGTGTGTGTGTGTGTGTGTGTGTGTGTGTGTGTGTGTAAAATTACCTAAGTGTAATTACCTAAGTGTAATTACCTAAGTGTAATTACCTAAGTGTAATTACCTAAGTGTAATTACCTAAGTGTAATTACCTAAGTGTAATTACCTAAGTGTAGTTACAGGATGAGAGCTACGCTCATGGTGTCCCGTCTACCCAGCACTTTGTCATATAACGCTTTGAAACTACTGACAGTTTTGGCCTCCACCACCTTCTCGCCTAACTTGTTCCAACCGTCTACCACTGTTTGCGAAAGTGAATTTTCTTATATTTCTTTGGCATCTTTGTTTAGTTTAAATATATGACCTCTTGTTCTTGAAGTTCCAGGTCTCAGGAAATCTCCCTTATCGATTTTCTCAATTCCTGTTACTATTTTGCGTGTAGTGATCATATCGCCTCTTTTTCTTCTGTCTTTTAGTTTTGGCATTTTTAATGCTCTAACCTCTCCTCGTAGCTCTTGCCCTTCAGTTCTCGGAGCCACTTAGTAGCAAGTCTTTGCACCTTTTCCAGTTTGTTGATGTGCTTCTTAACACTTTCGCGCTTTAGATTAGAGATAACTCGTCGCTGTTTTTCTTACGATTCCGCATAACTGCCTAGTTTTCTCGTCCATCGAAAAAATATTTCTATAAATTCCATTTTTTAACCGAAATGGATGGGGATACTTTTGTTTTGTAGAGAATTTATTTGCGAATTTTCTGGTACAAGAATGAATATTATATCACATAAACTTCTATGAGTAAAAAAAAAAATACACAAAGTATGTTTGGGGGTGTGGCGAGCGTGTGGCAGTGGGTTCCCTTTAG